GCAATTTCCTTGAGACCATAGAACATGACCACATCCGAAGAGAGGGAGAGAGAACGTAAGATAAAGGGGGTCCCCCTATCTCTATCTCATCTAGTAGCCACATCTTCAATGGCAAAAACCATAACATCTAGATATTGTTTATGGACCCGGTGGTGACTTGATTTTTTTTATTTCAAACCAATTCAAAACATTGGCAAATCAAATCGGAACGAAGAAAAAACTAAAGAAGAAATCAATTTTATGATTTCTTTTCAAATCCGAGATATGAAAAAAGATCTCTTCTACATTAAAATGAAGATATTTTCTATGGGGGATTACAGGTGGGTACAGATAAATGCAAAAACGGGAGTGGGGTGTTGTTGAAAAATATGTTGTCAATTTTATATGCAATTTCAAAATAAAAAAAAAATATAATAAAAATAAAAAAAAATAAATAAATAAAATTAAAATAGATACATAAATAAAAATAAAATAAATACAAAAATTATAAAATATGAATATCGAGTTTTTAAATATTTTTATAAAAGATCAAAATAATAAAAAGAAGACTGATTTTTAAAACATCCCCATTTATAAGGTATTTTTTTCTGATATTTTTTATTTCTTTATTTTTTTTCTCTTTTTTATGAATTATGGTTTTTTTTTATTAAAATTCAAATTATTAAAAAACGAACTCTAATTTTTAAAACAATTCCCATTTATGAAGTATTTCTTTGCTGCTAATTTTGTGGCTTTTAATTTTTTTTTCTCTATTTTATCATAACAATCAATTATTGCATATTCCACCCATCTGAAATCCTAAAGATCTAAATAAATAAACAAAATTAAAATGGATACATAAATAAAAATAAAATAAATACAAAAATTATAAAATATGAATATCGAGTTTTTAAATATTTTTATAAAAGATCAAAATATTAAAAAAGAAGACTGATTTTTAAAACATCCCCATTTATAAGGTATTTTTTTCTGATATTTTTTATTTCTTTATTTTTTTCTCTTTTTTATGAATTATGGTTTTTTTATTAAAATTCAAATTATTAAAAAACGAAATCTAATTTTTAAAACAATCCCCATTTATGAAGTATTTCTTTGCTGCTAATTTTGTGGTTTTTAATTTTTTTTTTTTTTATTAATTTTTTTCTCTATTTTATCATAACAATCAATTATTGCATATTCCATCCATCTGAAATCCTAAAGATCTAATTTTCTTTCATTACTGACATCTTGCCATATCTATGTTGCCTTTATCCATGTTTGCCTGTATTTCAAGGCAACTTTATTTGATTTTTTTTTCATTTTCAAAAAAAAAGCCACCAAATTGCTTGCCACAAAAGAAGACCAACCAACCAAACAACAACATCAATATTACTACAAAGATGTGAGAAACTATTAAAAAGTCATAAAAATTGTATAATAAAAATTTACCACAAGAGCGAGCGGTGGCGGCTTCAGCAGCAGCAGCAGTTGCCGCGGTAGCAACACTTAGAACGCCAGCAAAAATGTGTTGCGCTATTTCAAGGTGGTATGCAGATGAAGAATTTTGAATGAGAAGATGGTAGTCCACCAGTTCGGCCATAAAACACTATTCTAGCCATAGACCGGCAAACACTTTCAATTTCTTTCGATTTTTTGTTACGGTTACGTTTTCGTTTTATGATTAATGGCAATAAAAACTGATTTGAATCAATTTAAAAAGATTTCAAAAAAATAAAAGAAAAAAATCGAAATTACTTGGAAATAGTTTTTGTTGTTGTTGGAGATTATTAAATGGAAACCATAAAATCTGGAGCAATATAAAAATTATGAAATCAATAAATGTAACAGTGGCATTATTTGATAATAAAAATAAGCCATAATTAAAAAAAAAATAGTTTTTTAAACTATTTAAAAAAATGAAGACAATTTTATGGTTATATGGGGGCCATATAACATTTATAAACAAAGGAATTAAAATTAAAAAATATATATATTGGTACAAGAGAAATATTGAGAATTTTTGAAAATTTTTTATTTCGGAATTAGATTGCTATTGGGATATGTTATTTAACTTTACATGAAAAATATTGAGAATTTTGAAATTTTTTTATTTTCGATCTGGGATTGGTCTTCTTTTTAAACCTCCCCCTAAAATTGTTTTATTTCGGAATTGGATTGCTCTTGGGTTATATTATCTAGGTTTATATGTGAAATATTGAGAATTTTGAATTTTTTTTATTTTTGATCTGGGATTTGCCTTTTTTTAAACCTCTCCCTGAAAATTTTTTATTTCAGAATTGGATCGCTCTTGTGTTATATTATCTAAGTTTATATGTGAAATATTGAGAATTTTGAAGTTTTTCTATTTTCGATTTGGGATTTGTTCTATTTTTTTAAACCTCTCCCCTGTTTTCTTCTTTTCCCATTTTTCCCCCAACTATATAATTAAAAATATTTCATGCTAATTCCAATAGGTGTTGCCCGGTTTCAGGCCTAGTTAAGTACACCGCAGATTAATCCCACCTTAATTTTTGTTTGAGGTCTGGTGATATGGAAATCTACGGGGCCATGGTTTGCCTTCCATCTTCTTCGGCGGGTTGCTGTCTTAATGTTAATACTACTATTACATTTAATAATAGACCTCAAAACAAAAAAAAAAACACACGAGAAGGAATCCCTAGTAATATCTGGCCCACCGCAATGGCCAATAACAAAAGCAACAACAACTACAACACTACCAAACAAAATAAGGCCTAACATTTAATTTAAAAGGCGTGACTTGGGGCATAAAACAAAACAAGAAACTACAATGTTAACAAACAACAACAACTAAAAAGCAATTATAAAGGAATTAGTCTTCACAACAACAACACACACACAAACTCACACTCTTTTGTATCACACAAGAGCTTACCAATTTAAAATTCAAATGAAATGGAAAAAAATCTTCTGAAAAAATTCTTATGTATAATTTTTTTTGTCTTATTTCGTTTTCGTTTTTTTTTTTTTGCAATCAAGCTGTCTAAAATGACTGTTATAGGTCGTTAGAGGTCACCACCACCATTTAATACATTCATAATATAATTACTGATTAAATGCTATAAATAATATTATTTATAAACACATACATCACCATCACAAAACAGAGACCGAGCTAAAAAAAAAAAAAAATGAGAAAAAAGATGGACAGACCCCGACAATGCGGTTGGACAGTTGAGACAAGTTGAGAAATCAAGCTTAATATTTCAAAATGTCGATCATGATAATTGCTTGAAATAATAACAATAATGCCTGAGAATTATTGCCGTTTGAAAAAAATTACAGCAACAACAACATCGACGTTTTTTGCTGATAATAAAAATGACACGCGGAATTGTTGTTCTCTCGCCGAGGTTTGGCGTGAGATTTATGCCAGCAGCAACAGCATTAAAGTCGGGGTATGTGAAAAGATCGATATTTGTTGTTGTTGTAATATTTTGCGACATGTTGCAGGGGTATAGTAAAAAGACAGTGGTACCAAGAATATATCGATCAAAAGATGATGGGGAATTAGGGTGGCAATGGAGGCTAAGGGTCCAATAGGGGAATGGAGGTCCAATTAGAGGTTGAGAGTACTATGGGTATGAGTATCAGTAGTATATTATTTTAACTCTGTTCCACTAATTTGTTCCATAAAAATTAAATAAAAAAATAAGCTTTTAAGCAAATTCATCTGTATTATGATCCTCTGTTTACATAGTTTCGTTTTTCCCGTACACATATTTATTTAAATTATTTTAAATATTTACGATTAATAATCGCCCCAATCTCAATGATCGACTGCTGTGTTGAGTTTAATACACATGTTCATTCGTCAGACAGACATTTAGCTTTTCTTGTTGTTGTTGCTGCTGTTGATATTACTGTGGGACCCATTTTGCCCACTGTATCGTAATATGATTTATGAGTTATAGGCTTTATTAATGGCAATGCAAAAAAAAAACAGAAACGGAAATTAATATTGAAATCATTGGGCAAACAGTAGCCCGGTAATTGACATGACACAAGTATTTGTCATTTTTCATAGACAAATACAACAGACAGACTTACACGTGCTAAAGAAAGCAAAAAGATTGAATAAAGAAATTAAAATAAAAAAATAGAAATTGCCAATTTCCTTGTAATTAATCATAAAATTATAGTGGAGCTCAGGGAAGAATGTTATTGGTGGGGAACTTGAAGAAATATTTGAAAAAAAAGAAAAACTAAACAGAATCAGAAAAGTTCGAGCCTTGACAAATAACGTTCAGAAAAGGGCATTTCGAAATCAAATTTTTTCTGTCAATTTTTTTTTTTATTTTTATTTATTTATTTTTTGTAATTTTCCTAGCCCTAATAAAATTTAATTTACTAAAAAATTTAAATTTGATCCTTGACAAATAACTATTAAAACAGTCAGAAAGGGCATCTCGAAAAAATATTTTCATTTGGAAGCCATGGGTTATTTATTTTTATTATTTTTTAATTTATTTATTTATTTTTTTTTTTTTTTTTTTTGTAACTTTCCTAACCCTATTAAAATTTAATATCCTTTTAAAATATAAAAAAATGAAATTGGATCCTTGGCAAATAACTATTAAAAACCTAAGAAAAAATGCATCTCGAAAAAATCTTTTCATTTGGAAGCCCATTTAATTAATTAATTTTTTTTTTTTTTTGTAATTTTCCTAGCCCTAAAAATTTAATTTTCTTAAAAATTAAAAAAAAATGATCCTTGGCAAAGAAAGATTAAAATTGTCAGAAATAAAATTTAATTTTCTTAAAAATTAAAAAAAAATTGATCCTTGGCAAATAATGATTAAAATCGTCAGAAAAAGTGCGTCTCAAAAAAATATTTTATTTTGGATGTCATTGGCCCAAAATTTTTTATTTATCATTTTTGTTTATTTTAATTAATTTTTTTTTTTGTAATTTCTCTAGATTTTTCAAAATGTAATTTCCTTAAAAATTAAAAACAAAATGAAATTTGTTCTTCCACTTACCAGGGTCTGATGTATCTAGGACAGGTGGTTGTTGAGATAAAGGACCAGGTGTACTACCAGCGCCCGGCGATCTAGCATCTTCGTTCATGGCTCCACCATATGATAAAGATGAACTAGGAGGCCGCTGTAATGAGAAAAGATTGAAAGCATATTTAATTAAAATTTTGAATCTTATTGCAAAAAAAAAAAAATAAATAAATTATAAAAATACATAAACAATTAATAATAAAAGACTAAAAAAATTCATTTCATTACAAAATTGAATTTTATTATTTTATTTTATTTTATTAAAATAGATAAATAAATAAAAATAAAAAATACATGAAAAATTAAAATTTAAAAAAATGAAATATTAATTTCTTTCTTTAAATAAATTTCATAAAATTAAAATTAAATAAATTATTACTAATTAAAAGTATTGTACTCAAAAATTTCCAATTTTAATCTATTACTTTAAATAAATTAAAAGTAAATAAATTCCAAATGAAATCAATATTTTATTAATTATTAACAGAGAACATAATTTTTAATAACCAATAAAAATAATTTATAACTATCAAAAGGTAATAAAAAATTTTTACCAACGCAAAATCCCACTTTTTATTCAATTGAAAAATAATTAAAAAAAAAAATTCCCAACAATTTAAAAACCATAAAAACCCCAACAACAACACCAAATTCTATATTATGTAAATTCGTTGTAATGTTCGGTAAATTAAAAATTTGTTTATTTGTCTCGTCAAAAAAAAAAACAAATAAAACAAATAATTATAATTTCATCCAACCAAGCAAACTCCAATGACTTTTCAAACAGGAGCGTCTCCATGTTATTTTACAAAATACCTTTTTTTTTTGGTGGAATATGCAAATGAAGGCACGTTTTTTATCGAGGTGTAATTAATATAATTAAAAATACATTATACAAATACCGAAAAACAAACAAACACACACATAACAAAAAAAAAATTACTTGATTTTTTTTTAATGCGGTTTGTTGTTCTGGTGGGAGCTGGCAAAATAAAAACCAAAAGAAACAAACTTTTGCACGGAAAAAACGTCCAAAAGAAACCTTTATGAATTTCAATTAAATTGAAGACAAATTACCAATATTTTTTTTATATTTGTTGTTGTTGGTGTCTCTTTTTAATTCTATTAACAGTCAATGTCTGTGTTATTGCATGTTGAGTGAAAAAAACACAACAAAAAAAGGTTGTCTTTTGCATAAAACAAAGCCGCTGAGAAATGTCAAAATGTCAAATGTTTATAAGTCTTAGGCGATTTTAATATTCCTATTTGAGTCTTAAGGAAAGCATTAGTCTAGACTTTTTGTCTATACATGGTGAAGCAAGCAGTCAGCCAGCCAGCCTAACCGCCAGTAGCTGGGAAATTAATGCAGAAAATTATTATGGCTGATAAGAAGCCATACTGCTGGTGGTGCGTAACTGCTTAGTTTTCTAAGCTTTTGCCCAGTTTTGCAAAATACTAAAAATAATGATGGTGGCATACTAACTTTCTGCAACATACTATTCTCTCTCCAAGCGATGAGAAGCAAGAAAACACCACAACAACAACAAATATTATGAATTATTAAATAGCAAGAAAATGATATTTTTACCTTCTGCACTGCGTTGTGAGACAGAAAAATTTTATGCTTATTTAAAATAAAACCACAGGAGTCCATCCATCTCCATGGAGCAACTCGGGGTATGTGTCATTTTGAGTAGAGGATGGCCCAGGAGTGCAGTCATACATACATATATATTTGAAAATAATTTACGCTCTCCCGGCATTTGCTGGAGAGTTACATTTCAAATATAAAAATAAAGGTTTCAAAAAAAAAAATCACAAAGACATCAACCTTTTTGAGTCTAAGGTTCTTTTTTTCTTCTTTGGCCACCACCACAACACTGGGCTGGTCTTTTGTTTGGGAATTGGTTGGCTGGCAGGAGAGGTCTCCAAGATTTGTCTACAGCCAGTTGTTGCTTTGTGGCTTTGACTTTGTCTTTGTTTTGTCAAAAGTGCGTGCTGTGAATTTTATTAAATATGAAGGAACATTTGTTGTTTGTTAAATACATTTTTATACACAGTTGACATTTTCCCAAAGCCTTGAATTTTAATATAGCTTTTTTTTTTTTTTTTTTTTTTTTTTTTTTTGAATATTCAACTAAACAAAAAACTGAATCCCAACTCCCCTTTCCTCCCCTCGCCCCAGATTTTATATATTCATAACCTTTGCTCTTTTTTTGCAGTAAAAAAGCCAGCTAAAGTGTTTTCTTATCTCCCCAAAACATTTTCACTTAATTGTTAATTATTTTTTCATCTAGTTTTTATTGCTCTCGCTCCCTCCCTCCCCTTCCCTCTCTTTTGCTACCACTTAGAAGAGCAAAATCAATATTGTATTTTTTTAATATATATTTTTATTTATTCTTTGTTTTTTCTTTTGCCACTTAAATGATCAATTGATCTGCAACGACCCCCAATGCCTTCTCGCCCTCTTTCGCCCCTCCGTCGCTTGAAAGTGTAATAAACAAATAATTAAAAATCCATATGAATAAAAACGAATTATTTTTATGAGGTATAAAATGATCGATTAAAAAACTATAAAAATATATACATATTCTTTTCAAAAAGAAAATAGGGAAATTATTTTTAATGATTTTCAAGTGGATTCATTCCATTATCAATCAAAAATTGTTTGCCAGACCAAGTTGGTGCTGGTAGGGGAGGAAGCAAGGAAGGGGAAATACTAAAAAAAAGTCGTAAAACTGAAGAAGGGAATTTTTCTTTGGAAAAAATGTAAAAATCAATATTTTGGTCACAGTTCAGATTTTTAAACTCTGACTTGAAAATGCATTAAAAAATTCTCATTAACTTGGTGGAATGGGGAATTTTTTTTTTAAAAAGAAATAAACTTTGAAAAGTCGAAAAATTACCCAAAATAAAATGTTTAAGAAAGTATAGAATTTAATGTATTACATTCATAGAAGGTAATAATTCTCGTTCACTTTGTTTTTGACAAAGTATTCCTTTTTTATTTTTTTTAAATAAAAATAAAGAGCTTTCGCCCTTAATTTAAAATTTTTAGAAATAACAATGTTTAAATAATATTCATTTAATAAACATGCATTTAATTTTTTTAAAGGCAATAATTCTCATTGACTTTGATGTATAAACATTTTTTTCGTATTTTTAAAGAAAACATATTAAATTCTACATAGAAACCCCTATTAGTATTATTATTTTCCCACAATTGAACTCTTTGCTAGTTATATAAGGGCAATAATTCTCATTGACTTTAAGGTACAAAAAAAAACTTAGAATTTATATAGAAAATATATATAAATTTTTTCCTAAACCCTATAGAAAAACATTTCATCCCTTTTACTTTCCCACATTCGAGCGATTTTTTCTCTCTCCCTCTAAATTGCCAAAAATTTTTCCCAGCTTGGTAGAAATCAATTACTCAAGAAATACGATACATATGGAAAATAATTCTCCAAGGATAAATCCCCTGTGCAAAAATCGTCAATGAATTCCTATTCTCCCCTCTCTGGATGTTGATGATCTTCAAATAACACCAGCCAATTATAAAACATATATTTAACTATGCGAAAAATTGTATGGCACACACAAAAGGACTTACGGTTGGCGGCGGGCAGACGCCGTCACCACACCTTATGCGCCGGTGGTTTGGGTGTTAACGAAATAACAACATACTTGAAATCAACAGAAGTGCCAGTAGTAGTGGTTGGAATAACAGCAGCAACAACAACAACAATTATCAACAAAAATACACACCAGAAATACAAACAAATTAACAAGTCCTGAAGTATTGTAAGCCGGATGGATAATGGTTTATTGGGCGAGGGTGAACGAACAACTGAATAGAATTCCTGCAGAATGCTACGCAAATACCCCAAGGACCAGAGCTTAAACGAACGTCAAACTCAAAATTATTATTATAGAAAAAAAGAAAACCATACGCACACACACAACACAAGGATGATGGGAACGTCGTTTGTCTGGATGGGTGGGTGATGGGACGAAATGTCGTCCTTATACACTTTCACCCTCTAGGCAAAATGCCTGGGTGATGTGTAAGTGACATCAAAAAATCAAATAGAGAAATTATGTTTTTCTTTCTCATCAACATCGTCATCATCATCGTGGAAGGGCAGACGGACCGACCGGAATACCAGACCAGACAATATTTGTAATAACACGGTAAAACACTTAGCGTGGTATAATCCACAATAACAACAAACTTTTGAAGGGGTGTTCTTAGGCAAATACCCAAAAAGTACTTCTTGTACCAATAATTTGATTGTTTTGCCATTTGACAAGAGTGTGAGCGGCGGAGTGAGTGAGCGAGTGAGCAAGGAGGTTGGTCATCAAACACAAATTACAGAACAGACACTATAATCATTTTTGCTTGAACGTGTGCTGACCGAAAATATAATAACCAGGGGACAAAAATGCCTAATGATTATGTACCCCAACCCCAACCAGAAAAATTGTATACCCGAAAGTGACAATTATCTGGTTGAGAAAAACAATGCCATTGAAACATGTTATTATTGTTATTTTTCGGCTCGATTCAGATTTGTTTGGGAGTTTTTGGGAGTTAATTCATAAAGTATGGGAAAATTGAGAGAGTTTTGTATGAATATTAAGCTCTTTAGAAGGGAGGAGTTCTAGAGCATTATTTAAGGTAAAATTTGAATTACTTAAATTTTTTTTTAAAATTTATAAAAAAAAATAATTTTAATTTTTATATAACCTGAAACACTGTAGGATGGCAGTTATATATTTTCTTTAATTCGGGATTTGAATTAAATTGGCATTAAACTTTTTTTATAATTTAAAAAAATAATTTTTTTTAATAAAAAGATCTAAAAATATGACCGAAATGTAATTGTGTGTAAATGTCTTGTTAAGACAAAAGTAATTAAATGTTTTTCTTTTAAACAAAAAAACAATTGAAAAAGTTTTTCTTTTTTGCTTTGTTTGTTTTGCTGATGACCATTACTTAACAAATTACTTTGGTGTTTGGAATTTTCTTTTGGCTTCTTCCTGTTTATTTTTTGTGGGTGAGGGGGAAGGAGATGTGAATGGTCATTCAATAAAGTGCTTTTTGTG